CCGGGGCGGCCCCCGCCCCCGGAGCTGCCCGGGGCAGCGGGCGGCCTCATCCCGTGCCACCGCAGAGAGGGGATGCTGCGAGGGAGGTGGGCGAGGGGCCGCTGGGCATGCTGCCTGCCGCCTGGCCCTACAGCCCCTGGCACGCCGCCCCGACAGCCCTGCCTGCCGCCGTGCCTCCCTGACGGTGCCGGCAGCCCATGGTCCCACTGCCGTCCGCCCTGGCTCAGTGCTGCCCGTGGCGGGCTGCCCGGCGTGACAGGTGCTGGCTGTCCCTGCCCATGGCTCCTGGGCTCTCGGACCTGTGGGGACAGAGAGAGGTGGGTGAGCCCTGGCCCCGCTGCTGCAGCCCCCCGAGGACGGGAGCGTCCCCTGCGTGCCGTGCTGCCCTGTGGAGCCGCTGGCCTCTGCCCGCCTCTGCGCGCTCCCTCCCAGCCCCGCCATCACAAAACGCAAAGAGACAAGCTTTGATCTCCAGCGCTGCCTCTTCAGCACAAAGAGAGAGGGAAAAAAAGAAACCCCTTTAGCATAAACACGTTACAAGTTCACAGCTCAAATCAAGCAGAAGCAGCTGTTAAAAATAGCTCTGCCTCACTGGGGCTGGTGCCTCGTGTTCGCAGGGTGCTGGCAGCAGGAGGGCAGGCACGGGGCAGGCACAGGGGGCTGCTGCCCGTGGGCATGGGGCAGAGCTGGGCTGGGCACGGCGGGCTCCTGCGTGGGACGGGTGAACGCGGGGCATCTGCTGTGTGCGGGGCACCGGCTCTGCATGGGGCTGGACAAGGTGTGGGGTGCCCAACCTGTGTGGGGCACGGCTGGAGTGGGCACGGGACCTGTCGTATGCGGGGTAGGGCTGCACTGGGCACAGGGAACCCGTCCTGTGTGGGGCACTGAGCACAGGGCCCCATCCTGCACACAGCACCCACCAGAGGTGCGGCAGGGCTGGCTGGGCTGCAGGCGTGGGGGACCTGCTCCGTGGGCAGGGGCCGAGACCGTGGCTCGGGGACACTGAGATGCTTTGGGCGCATGAGAACCAGCTGAGAGAGAGAACAGGCATCGCAGCTAAGAGAGCGACTTCGGTGAGACCAGGGGATCACTCCCTGCCCCTCACCGTGGAGAAGGGCGGTTGCTGGTCTCTCTCCAGCTCTCACCCCCGGCTCTGCCACAGAGCTGTGGCTTGGGGAGGCTGCGGTGGGGCTGCCTCTGGAGAGCAAGGTCTCCCCGGGGCATCGTACTTTCTGCCATCATGCAGCCGCAGGCAGCCTGCCCGCCTGCGCCGACCGCAGCTCTCTGCCCGCCCCGCCTCGTGCGCGGGCACGCGGCACAGCTCCCGCTCACAGGCCACCGCCGGGACCTGACTGCAGGATCGAGGCCACAGCTCGTGCCTGGGGATGCGTCCCTGACACCAGCAGCGCTTCCCAGGCGGCAGAGGGGCAGGACCAGGGGGCTCTCGCACAGGGGCGATCACACCCAGCCATGTCCCCATCCCTGCCATCGTTAGTGCACAGCTATGCAGGGCTTCTCTTCCCGGCGCAGGCAGGGCAAACCTCCCTCCGCAGCCCTGTCCTGGCCTTACCCACACACCAGCACCAAGCCCCCACGCCCGCCTTGCTCTGCCTCTGCCCGCCCAGGTCACCAGCTGCTGCCCCGGCCCGTCACACTGCTGGGGCATAGGACACGGGCTGCGCACCGGCAGCCCTGCCCAGGATGCCCCCGGGAGCAGAGGAGGTTAATGGCTCATTTCGGGAAGCAGCGTCAGGGACAGGGTGAGAGAGACAGAGACGCCAGCCCTGGTGGGCAGTGGCGCTGCTTCGCCTGGCGGCTCAGTCTCCCAGCATTCAAGGTCTGCAAACAGCCAGAGGTACCTGTGGCGTGGGCAAGGAGCAGAGCGATGTGGGCTCCCCCATGGCACGGAATCACATCCTCACACCACGCTATGTCCCGCATCCCGCAGCACCGCAGCTGGCGCCGGTAGCCCCTGCCCCAGGCCACAGCCCACTGCTCCCCCGGTGCCCCCGCACCCTCTTCAGCACACCGAGACTGGAGCCTTGCTGGCTCCGCAGCCCTCCTGCCCTCACTGCAGACAGACACACGGCACCTGCCAGCCCCCCCGGCCCCCCTTGCCGTCTTGCCTTGCTCCTGCTGTAACAAAGCGGCTGACTCAGCACAGCAGCCTGAAGTCACCCTGTGCTGGTAATGAGCAAACTTCCCGAGTGCTGAGCGCGCCGGTGCCCAGTGCTTCCCCAGGCCAGCAGCAAGCCACCAACCCAGCAGAGCAGGGGGCTCCCACAGCCCTCCTGGCCCCCCGCCCCAGCGCCTCTGCGCCCCCCGCACAGCATTAGTCAGGATGCTGCTCCATGCGCCGCCCAGCCGCCCGGCACTTTCCTTCCCGAGCTTGGAGCCGTGCCCAGACACCGGGAGATGTTTGTGAGGCAGGACGCGACGGAGATGGGGACAGCAGAGGGATGGGGCACCTCGTTAGTATGGACAGCAACGGGCAGAGGAGGGAGCTGGCTCGGGGGCAGAGCCCGCGCCACGTGCCCCCGCG